GTGGCAAGATACGACTGTTGGATGAGTATGCACAATCATCCTGAAGTATGAGTCCTGTTGACTCTCATCTCTTTCGTTGTGCTCCAGTAAGGACACATGCGTCATCAGATATTCAACATCTTCGCTCATATTTCGGACATGATTAAGTGAGCAGATATATAACTTTTCTAAAAGAGATATTTAGATTTCGTAACAATACTAATAAGGAACTAAATACATGTAAAAGTAAAGCAACGAATTTTCCTAAATGAATTCCACAATGCAAGTAAATTATTAGGCCATCGTAAGTTGCTATACTGTAAAACGGCTTGAGATAAGGCGATATTCAACCTGTCTTTTTCTTTGAAATTCGACTTGACGGGGAAGAACTTCTCTCTAACGCGTTAGAGGCCTCCGCAAAGAGGGCAGATCCAAACCAAACAAGTTGAAGAAAAAGTTGGAAAGTAGGTGAGCCCAAGTTAGCTTCCAACTGCATTTCAAAAGCGTCTCTTCTCAGATAAAATTTACGACTTTTCTACCCAGTGTCCTGATGTATTTAGGTGTTTTCATGCAATTGACACCCAATTACCAATGAACTATACGGATTGCATCAGCAAACAATTGGCTGAAATCTCATACCTTAATCACAATTTTTTTGCAGCTAATTAGCGCACTTACAGTAACCGGGCCAAATGATGAAATGGCAACCGCGATTCCAAAAGGCGTTTTCGATCCGAAAAGATTAATTAGGTAGGGTTCTGAAACTAATAATCGTACAGCGTACTTCTGCTATAATTCAGTTAACTCAGGATGTCGGTATCTGAGTGAACTTCCCGATTTTTCTCTGATTGATTCTCTTTGCCATTAAAATTCAATTATATTTCATGGAAAAGATGCAGATGTAGAAAATGTCGTATTCTTCCAGTTTTATACTTGAAGGTATGGTATGGTTTGGGTTTCAAAAGGTTTTTTCAATTCCCGAATTTTATTCGGGGTTTATAACTTATAAACCATATATTTCTCCGCGTAAATTTCTCTACGGCATTAAGAGGCGACTTTATGGGGTTCATAAAATTTAGCACAGGATTTGGGCCATGTTGTTAACTTTGCAATTCATATTAGTAAATGCAGAGATACGACGTTTCATTAACGGCCATTTCACTGTTTTTAAACATCGCACAATTAGGAACTACTTTTAAAGGTATTTATACCCTTCCTCGGAGCATAAAATTGGGAGAAGGCGTAACTTTCTATTGAATTAGCAAAACCATGAATATTTTTATGATTGCTTTCCATGGAATATAATTGAATTTTTAAGGGCATAAAAAAACAATGGAAAAAATGCTTGCTACATGCGTAGTCATTTTTCACGGTGTAGTTTTCGAATGCAGGCAATAAGAAGTTCATCCGAAAGCCGGAATCCTGATGTAACCTTATTAGGATAGAATCCTGCCCCACAAGGATTATTATTACAACCTTACTTAATAAATCCTTTCGATTGGGAAACGAAGTTTGGAATTCCGGTTACATTTCATGCTTTAGCCCCCCTTTTGTTGTCAAGTGCTTTTTTGAAGCGCGCATCGATTTTTACGCATATTTGTGTGTGAAGTGGAACTTGGCATCCAAGGAAATATAATTTGAAGGCAAATACGTTCTTTGGAAAAAAACATGATTGAGTAAATTTTCGACGTCGGTTCCCCGTGTTGTCGTCATACTCAAGTAAACGTGGTAAAAACAACTCCCATTTCAAAATTGCTAAGAAATCAATATTCATTTGGTGCTTCAGCCGGTAAGCGACCGCAGTGGGCTTCAGTCTGTACCAATTGGCCGTCGCCACTTCTACTTTGCCCCTGATATTTTTTAGGTGGGATCTAACTCAATTTGCCAATTGATGCCTAACTCATCCGACTGCATGGCTACAGGAAAGTCTCGGTCTTTTTAGATGGACAAGCTCCAACGATGCGACTTTTGCCCTATGCGACGGTGTGCCCAGTAGCAAGAGTGTGCATGGACATTTGAGGCAGGTGGTCCCGCCTATTAACTGCCAGTTGATGTTCGTGAATGCGTGTAAAGACACATTTTCCCAATTGTCCACAATACACGGCACCACGGGCATCGCATAGGCTCTTCTAGACGACTTACTTTTTATTAAGATAGCCAACTCTATACTAAGGGTGTACAAGCGGAGTGCGTAAAGGAGTCGTCGGCTTGTGTGCTACATTTATTTGGCGTTTGCGCTGCGTTATTGAAAAAAAGAGATAGTTCTGTCGTTTGAACATAGTTGTCGTTCCTCTGTGTGATTTTGTATATGAACAACTGTCGTATCCGTTAAAATGCTGAGTGTGTATTCTTGCTGCAATATCTACTGGACCATTGCAACTATTTAGATAGGTCGCGCACTGCCATGTTTCGCTACTTCAGCTTGAAGAATGTCAGCGCTTTTTGTTGCAACTAAATATGTAGCATACAGCGTTAAAAGTTCACTGTGAAATACTATGCGTAATTGATGACATATTAATTAGTTGTTTAGTTCTTTTAAACACAAATGAGGCCCAGTTTATAGAATGTGTGCTTGACGTGATGACGTCATTGTTAGACATCATTTTCAACACTCCCCAAGGCCTGAATATATGACAAGTCTTAACGTCTATAAAGAAAAACAGTTAGTTTATTCAGAGGTGATTTGGCAGATTCCAACTAATTGGACGTGACTTCAAATCTCACCAAGGCACCGAAATTTTCACAGTTGGGTCAAAGTGAATTATTTGAAATCTGTCAAAACACCTCTGAAGTACGTGAGCCTGGTAGTCATTTGGTGGATTTTATATGCATTACTTAGGTAATTCTGCTTGGGCAGTCAAATCACTGTATCAGATTTGGTGGATTCCGGACGTCGCAGTAGGTTGGTCGGGTAAGTTTACAGAAATGTGATCAAACTCGCGTCGTCCGGTGGGGCCTCGTAGCTCAGATGGTTAGAGCGTTGGCTGTACTACAGCATCTACTTGCTGTCCTTGGATAAAATTCCACCGAAGTGTCGAGTTTTTCACAAATGGGTCGAAATGAGTTAGCTTATTGTTACAGGCGGTCGAATTACCCGAACGCGTGATTATGGCAGTCGCTTAAGGATTTAAATTGAATTCTACGAAATCCCAATTTTTAAACGGTTGTTTTGTTTTTGCTCACTCGACCGAACGTGAACTTATCCTCATGTTCGACAGCATAGGAACGACAAGTTATATTCATGATGAGAAATTAGTCTTGCTATAAAAATCGTAATATCCGTCATATGCGGCAAAGGATCGGGAAGTAAGAATGAGGCGACCGATTGATGTCAATGCATTCAAAGGCATGTCGACAGTTAATGCTCTTTTGTCAAGATAAGACTACGAGCGCTAACCTAGTAGCTGACATCAACGATAATTACTCCGCTATTATCCTCTGTGACATAAATGAATGTCGAGCAAACTGCTGCTTAAAAAAGTATATTTTGCATACACATAAATAATTAAATTGAGTAATTTGACAGAAGGAAAACGACAGTAGCCGTATGCTTGCAAACAACGCGTACGATCAAGGATGAGAAATGTTTTTATTTAGACGCATGTTAAAGTTCCTTTCCGGAATGTTTCCATTGAATTTTTCGTTCGATATTAAAACGTCACACAACAGGTTGTCATGTGGACTGCGCGTCAGTCAGAAATTACTTTCAGCTAGCTAGGTAAGTAGCATGTCTTTGAGAAAGCTAACTCCAGAGCACATCTACGGCAGTATGCTATACACTCCCTTTTTGCAAACGCCTTATCTGCAATATTGACAGTTTAACATACTTTTTTTCTCATGAAACCGCACATCAATAATGTTTACCCAGTAATATGCTCGGAATCATCTTTCTTCATATGCGATTAGTTGATAATTTCAACCGGAATACTTCTTAAACCTCGCTGTACTCCATTAAGAAAAAAAGGATTTTTATGTAAGATCTAGTTAGGCAGCGCGATTGTCAGTTATGTTCAAATTCAAAAGTGAGAATATTTCCCGCAATTAATGAGGGTCTTCTCAAGCACGCGTGAGCGTCTCTTCCCTCTAAACTCCTTTCTGTCTAGTTTTGATCTGGAATTCGCTCAGTAAGAAAGAATTCGATCCTTATCATTGGTGAGTCAAGTTTTTCAAAATGAGTTTCTACTTTTCATGAAGCCTTTTTAGTCATCATCGGAGCTTTTTTGCGGATTATCATATTTGCATACTCACTAACTTGACTCTCGCCAGATCAACAGACGCTCGACCAATTCTGGCGGCCCGCTGTTAATGTAACAAATCATATTACCTTAATTTCGATAGATTTTAAATTGGCTGCATGTGAGTTGAATATCTAGCCAATCGTTTTTTAAGTGAAATCGACCAATTGCATTGGCCTGTAGGCGTAAACTGATATGTTACCGTGGTTTATAAATGAGGCATTTGCAGACGATCAACTGCACTGCAACAAAGTAAAGGACTTATGAAATGAGACGCACAGGTAATGTAAGCTGGTTTGCCGTTCAACTGCTAATCTCACTGGAGATGCATCGGTTTACGACGCGTGTAATTGCATGCAACCCGTCTGAGGAGAATTCATCCAACGAAATAAAACCTTTTAGTGAACTGCCAGGTAACATCTGTTCTCAATTAAATATTTCTGCCGTGCTGAAAACGCCTATGTCTATAATTTTGTTTGTATCCTTGACGATGAGCTGATATCGGCACCCGATTTTCGTCACTTTAAAATAGTCCATTATTGATAATTACCAAGTTACAGGATGTAAACCTAGATGATATCTCTTTTAGATAACGCTGGCCAGCGTTCACACAATGTCATTAACCAGAGAGTAAGCCAAGCTGTTAGACATCTTATGGGGCGCGTGCCCTTACTGATATATAATGAAACGGACGACAAACGGACTGCAACATTTCTTGCAATGTTCGTTCACGTTTCTCCAACGGGAACCTTCTGCCGAAGTTTAAACAGACTGTCATCGAGCGATATGGAAACATTCGAGTGTAAACTTTCCTTTCCGGCCATAACGCTGCAGTTTTTTAAAGAGGTCAGTATATTCACGCGTAACATTGCAAACTTATGGAAGTAAGTGACTATTTGCCTTTGTGTTTATTTCAGATGTTTATCGTTATTGGTAATAAATATCGTGTGCCAATCAAAGACGGATTTTCCTGTGATTTAACGGAAGTTACCGCAAACGCGATTGTGATAACACGATACATTTCTGACAGCAGTGCAATCGTCGAGGTGGAATCCCTTGAATTTCCCAATATTGGCCGTCATTTTGCGAAGAACCTGACATGTGAGATACCATTGCCCAACTCAATTTGGCTAGCGGAGGCAACTTCTGAAATTGGCCATGCCGCTAGCCAGGCCTTTGCCAACATTCCCCTTTTACAATGCAAAATTGAAGTGCTGAAGGAAGTCTCCGGAGAAGATTGGACGAGTATCAAATGCTGACCACAGAAAAAATCAGTTTATAGCCAAGTTGTTCACATAAAATGTGAAATCGGAACACGTAATAGTTTAGGAGTGACTGTGAGCTTGACTGTTTTAAAAAAAGAGACATCTGTCTACCTTTTTGTTATCTGCAAACTTCGGTCATGCGAATACGCAGCGGATAGTGCGCGTATGTTTTAAAGCCAGATTTATGGTGTGTGCCAATAGTCATGCTGCTAACAATCATGCAATTATCTGGCCGGTGTAAGCATGACATCATTCAGCACAGGCATTTAACACTGTCAGTCAATCTGAAATTTGACGAGAGTTCTTCCAACGTCCATTGACGCCCATGTTAAATATGCAGCAGCAGTTCATATTGTGCACGCTAAAATATCAACCTCGGCCATAGCAAAACGCCCACTTATTTTCCTCTGTAGGAGCATGTGTTAATAAGGAACATGGTGACACATTCCTGCCTTATTATCCAGCCATCTGGATAGCGTAGGCATCTAAACTGCCTTATTGAATAATTGAGCATCAAGTCAGGAGCTGTTCTAACGGCATGCTCATCAGTGTCTTACCAATTTTATTTAAGCATGAACGGAACTAGTGATAGACGAGGTTGTGTACTCCCATAGAACATGCAGACGGCATTCATGCTGTAGGGTCGAAGGACAGGTGAGACGCAGCCGTTAGTGGGGTTGACGGATACTGCAAACACATTGAATGTGCGAGATGGAGACTGGGAAGCGCATGTGTTTGCTTTGCTACATCGCGTTGCATCTGAGCAGGTGCGTAGCCGTGCACATGCAGTCGACCTACTGGAACTCCTATGATCTCAAACTTTATCTTGGAGGTGAATGTGGCGTGCTGTTTGTGATGAAGGCGAAAGCCACAAAGGGAGCATGACAAAACAGAGATGAAGAGCCGGAGGACGCAGGCAGGAAAGTAGACAAATTACGTGATTTAGCATTGTAATAAAATTTAGAGCGGACACGTAGACCATGGAAATCGGACTGTGATCAACCTACCGCCAATGGCTTTATGCCTCCAATGTATCTGTCTATTAATGTTATTTCTCGTCATAATCCAGCGCTTGATTTCTTCCAATTCAGCACAGAAAGTAATGTATTTTTACATTGGATCGAGTCATGGAGCTCTGCGTCAGCACGTTAGGGAAAGGGAATGTATCTCGACAGCACCCAGTCCTTCATTCCAGCTAGTATGTTAGAACACAAATACCCAAATTGGTAGAAGAAGCTCATTAAACGATAAGGAAACGACAGCACCCAAGACGTTTGACGTGTACCACTTCGCCAATGTTTGATCCCTAAAATGTAACCATAGGTGGCATAAGCAAATAGTGCAAGAGAATGCTGAGAGTTAGTTGCGATTTGCAGCAAGGTGTATGGGTCCTGCTCGCGACGTCGGTGTCCAGTGGATGTTCCTCCTAACAGCGACAGTCGTACGTCTGATTTTGTGGGACAGTATGACGTCTGCGTGCCTCTGAAACGGGCCATCCAGTAAGTAGGCTGGGTCAACACGGGGACTACATCGCGGTCCAACAGGCGTTACCGAGAATGCGCCACAATAAGAAAGGCCAACCTTGGGAGTGTGGCGGCACTTCCAGGTGCAGACCTACACTGCGCCAAATGGAGTTCTAATCACACCCCTCTTTTGTTGTGTATAATCCTGACCCAGTGTACGTTGTGGACCTGGTCGCCTAGCTACTCAGATGAGCCAGAAGTCCAGTCGAAATGCTAACACCTCTAAGACATGTTCTTATTGGCTCAATTCCAGGCTGACTTTGGACATTTCTGTATGATATTCGAGAAAACATCACGTAAAACATTGTCTCCTGATCCAGAGTTTTGCAAACTTCGTGGAAAAGTCAATCAGCTAGATTTAGAAATGCACTTCGAGAATATCTGGAGCCAGACGTACTATCTCAAGACCATTTACAAAAATAGTGTCAAACACTTGAAATCAACAATCGTGGTATGCGTCTATCAAAAGCACAACAAGTCGGCGACTGTTGACAAAAGTACACATACAGAATTTAAAGCAACTGCGATAGTTTAGAAATATTTTGGTAAGTAGACCAGATAGAATAACCGGCGTAGTTATAATGAATAGATTGGACTATGTGGCGAAACTACAGTCTAGATTGTCAGACCAGAAGAAATTAAAGAAAGCCTACAAAGCAGAAGAATGGACTTACTAAGTATAAGCAGAACTGACAATTTGTCTACGCAGACTCCATTGTTCTTCTGTTCTGGATGATGTTTTTCACCCTTTCTGATTTTTGGGGAAAAAAATTCTTGGATGTGTATATGGACGAAATTGTTCCATTCATTCTAGGCGACGTAAACTTCTTTACTTAAAGTGCCTTAAAGTCATTATTTAACTTGTGTTCTTGCTGTCTGTATGCATGCCGTCTCTACCCTTACATCGACGGTAATATTTAGAATTTCGTCCGTGTATATGTGACTTAATGGCAAAACAAAGATAATGTGAGGACTTTCAACTCACAGTTTGGGAGATAAAAAAATTTAAAACGCATTTATTTATTCGTAAAAAGATAGTTAAATATGTTAACATGATGCAGAAGCATATCAAAGTTTTTATGTTAGTGCGATTAAATAGCCTTATCACCTTGCGACTACATTAGTAAAACACACATGCTAAGGGCGCCAGTTTGGAAAAAGCCCTCCTTGCGAAGTTAGGGCTCTACATTATTGCCCATCTTGTCCAACGAGGCATAGCTACATATTCGTTAAGTAATGTGTTGTCGACAATAATACGATTCAAGCCAGGAAAACGGAGCTCTGTCACATGAATCCGAATTGTCTCGTTAAACGCAGGCTTCGATGTGATGAAGGCCTCTGCGTAGACGTCAGTTATGTTGTAATCATATTTCTTCATAATGTAATGCAACACGCTGGCATTTGGTTTTGGTACAAAAGCCTGAAAAAAATGTTAACTGACATTAGGTGATGAAAAGTAAGTTAACCATGTAGAAAAATTATAAATAGCTTACACCTTTAGAGAACGTGACAGTTGTCGAGAGAAATATGAGAGAGCAGTTGAATATTAAACCTCCTGCACTTGGTGCAGTGTAAATCGCACAGGCTTGAACATTTGCTGCGACCGGGACTTTCATCGTAAATAACGTAGGAATCGTCCTTTCAAACAACGTTTCGTAATGCATCGAAAGCACGGAATCGAGAAGGCTTTCAACCAAACGATCAAGTCTTCTTTCAGATTGTGGACAACGTGCGCTCAACTGGGCTAGAAAATCAATGCACTGTGTCAGTCAACTATATTGCCAACATGAATAAAGCTTGAATAGAGTAGTAATTATGAGGAAAATGTACTTAAACCAGGCGACTGCCTTAAATCCGAATTGTATTAAATGAAACATTTTGTAATCTTAAGTAAGGACAGAAGATTACTTTCAAGGCATTTTTATTAGCTTTCGAAAGTCCAAATGTACAGAGATTATCTTTTAGATGAAACGACTTGTCAAAGTAACGATGCCAAATTACCGGTTGTCTCGACGTTTTGTCTTTTGCATGCTTGTCCAGCAAACACAAAAAGCAATACGCACGGCTTCAGGAGTGTGCGTGTTTGAAATCTCAAACTTTCACGACATTGGATCCCGGTAGGCATTTTTCAGTGACTTTAGATATTACTATTTATGAGAAAAAATCTCTCTAATTAAGTGCTAGCGCAAACGTGGCATATAGTGTCGTGCTAAACAAAATCTTTCTCTCTATTCTGTCGACGACAGTCGTGTTTGTGCTCTGTACACCGCAACGCGCTCACTAAGCCGATATATCTATTAGGCCGCTGATGAAATAGCACACTCAGACAGGGGTCAAGCAATTTTTATTTGCAGCAGTTTAGGTGGTCACCTAAGACCAGTTTTGGTGGCTAACATTTACTGATTAAAGGCTGCTCTTAAAAAGCTACACGCGATTATTGACAAGTAATTGTGTTGGCTGATTTTAAAGATATTTTTGGGTGTAGTAAAGTTTGCGTGCAAAGTTTGTTGTCAAGGTGAAGTGATGACTACCCATATCTGTCTGAATAAGTAGTGTTAGATCAAACAAACAGATATTATGGTTCAGTCCGGTTAGGCATTTTTTTTTTCATAAATAACGACGTCGTTCTGATTGCTTGTTGTTTTGTAATTCCGTAAGGCGTATTTGAAATTTGTTTATTTCTCCTCCTAATCTATTACTCAGATTTCGCACAAATCTGTCCCAGAAGGATTAAGGGAAAATGTATATTTTAAGTTCTTTCCGATAAATGGCGTCGTCAATTTGTATCGAAGAATTTATTGAAAATAACGTTTTCCTTAAAAGCAGGAGAGTATGAGCGTTATGCATTGTCACATAAACAGTCTTCGGGGTTGAGTACAGGGCCCGTTTGCTAGAGAAGCAACCTAATAAATCATCTATGGCTCCGACTAAATGGATGTGGCCGCCATTGCCTGCGTTATTTAACAAATATACTGTGCAGTTGTTTTTATTCAGAGAATGCACAACATTAGGGTCAGTTCAGTATAAGAACGATGACTAAGGGAATCTAGATGATCATTTCAGGGCGAACAAATCGTTGCACTTTCTATTTCTTCACCTAACCCGTTAAACAAAATGCCGTGTTTCATGCAGGACTAGTCTCCAAGTATTTTTTTTTTCTCCGGCATCAGTTAAAAAACCTCTTTGTACATTGCGTGACCATACCGCTGCTAAACCGCTCTCACAGTACGCGTCTTCTCAGCTTGCTCTGCGCAGATAACGACCGTTTTATTTATAATACGTTTGGGCTGGTTGGGCTCGAGAGAGAGAGCCCGTAAGGCACAACGGAACGAGTGAGTTCCGTATGAACGATCGGTGAGCGCCCCCTACCACTGTATATTCCCGATCGAAAACCGACAGGGCAACGGGCTCGTGGCCCGGTGGGTAGAGGCGCAGACTTCTAAACCAATAGGTCGCGAGTCCGGGGCTGGG